GAGATATGTACAAACATCACGATTAAACCTAACTTCTTTCACACAGTCTTCAAGCTCTAGTCTGAGATATGTACAAACATCACGATTAAACCTAACTTCTTTCACACAGTCTTCAAGCTCTAGTCTGAGATATGTACAAACATCATGTTTAAACATTACAGAAGAAAGAGCAGCACATTCCTTTTGACCCGAAATCTTTAATGAAAAGAGATAAAATGTAATGATTTAATTTTTACTCCTAGTATTTTACCTTTCTGATTACTTAACATTACAATCTTAGTGATAGGCTCACTTCATCTCTGAAGTCCACACATGTGCTTGTGCCTGTTTTACCCTCTGGTTTTATGCACATTAACAATACATCACGTACAAGATACTACACCATGTGGATTTTCTTAAATATTTACTTAAACAATACAATAAAACACGACATTTGCAAGGAAAAGTAATTTAAAGGAACAAACATAAAAACTTGGTTTGTAATCTTTAAAGGAAATTTCAAAACAAGTACATTTCCCACTAAGAAGACACAAAGGATTTAATAAGTTACATCCTTATAAAACAACAACAACTATATATGTATACCTTCCATCAGAATCATGTCCAGGGACAACATGTATGCCAAGAGGTCCAGGTTCATATTTTAATGATATTATCCTGCATACAGTAAAAAATAAATATTAGATAGAATTTTCAAACATCGGTAATGTTAAACTGCTGTTCATAGCGGTGTATACTCTATATATTTAATATTTTTTTATCTTACCGAATCCAACATGTATGTTAATGAAAGTTTCACACTAAGATTTTACACATAAAAAAGCACTAATACAAGTGGATGTCTTGAGACAAGTTGTGTTTTTAAATGATAAGAAAGACAGCATAACTCGCATCATGCATCAGTTTTATGGGTTTTTTTTTTATGATAGCGGTTACGGCTAATACCAAATATTTATAAAAACTGTCAAAATCCCAGAGAACGACACAACTGTCAAGCTCAACAGTCGTCAAGTTGTCCTTCTTGTTTAGTTTGTGTAAATATATGATCTTTATCTTTCACATTCGTGTCCTCTTTGGTCTCACCTTGTCTTCAGAAAATGACGCGAGACTGAAGAGGATGCACAAATGTGTCAAAACTAGTTTCTCCAACATCAGACTTCTGACAGTTTGTTTCGTTTACTGTCGTTTTTCACTTATCATTATCTATTTATCAACGGAAGTTTGATCAAAGATGTCTAGCCCAAACTATAAAAACTACAAAAAACACACTAAAGAATGCAAGGTCTCTGCCGGATGTATCAAGTTATTTGGCCTAACACACTAGTTTGCAGTATTTTGGTGCACAAGTTATTTCCATTATAAACTTGACATAGTACAACTCCCATCCAACTTAATTTTTTTTTACTTTTTGTAATAACCAACCTAAAATAGACACCAAATAATTGTCCACCCTCAAAATTGTAGGTACAGGTGCCGAGATCTTTTTTTTTCTACAAAAATCCCAATTTGTTACATACCATTATCACAAAAATGGTTTAACTTCAGTGTGACCTTGACCTTTGAGATATATTCATCAAAAGTTGATCAATTAGTCCTTAGGAGACACAAACTTTGCACTAAATCTTATCAAAATCAGATGGAAAGTTTGAGCTGTGTTTTTCACCCAGTGAAAACAATATCCACAACTGGTGGATAGGAATAACTATTATAGAATACCTGAGGCTAATTATGGCAACATTTCAAATGTGACAATAAAACAATATCCACAACTGCTGGATAGGGATAACTGTTATAGAATACCTGAGGCTAATTATGGCAACATTTCAAATGTGACAATAAAACAATATCCACAACTGCTGGATAGGAATAACTATTATAGAATACCTGAGGCTAATTATGGCAACATTTCAAATGTGACAATAAAACAATATCCACAACTGCTGGATAGGAATAACTATTATAGAATACCTGAGGCTAATTATGGCAATATTTCAAATGTGACAATAAAACAATATCCATAACTGCTGGATAGGAATAACTATTATAGAATACCTGAGGC